AATGCAAATTAATCTACAAATTAAGATGTAAAAAATGCCCGTATGTTTCTAAAGTTTCAGGAAAAATTTCAATCTTTATTGAGAAGTTAAGATTAATATTTACTAACAAAATAAAAATGTAACCTAACCAATTGATACTATTTACATTATTATCCTTATAAGCATGCCTAATTTAAAAAAATTGGCATCTTCGTTAAGAGAGCTCACTTAAACAAAACTAGGCTTAGGTTCATGTTATCAAACTTAGTTCATAAGGAATCGTGTAACTGACAATTTTCCTGCTCGAACATTCCATAAATAAAGATGGACTAGTTCGGTACTTAATGGATAGCATTCCTCTTTTCTAAATCTTAAATACCAGCTTTATTTACTATTATCTCTTACTTGTTGTCCATCTACACACACAATAGTATTGAGCCTTTATAGCGAATTTGAATTTACAGTTCTTCATATTCCTAGCTGTTCAAGTAAGACTAGTTTACTCGAAGCCCATCTATATAATGCTGACAATGTCATCCTAAAATCGCGCATACTTATCCTCTTCAGACTTAATGTAAACCATTGTAACCCTATTAACTCTTAAGTCAGTGTTAGATTTTCCTCTGCCTGAAGAATGGAATGCTGTCAGAAAATTGCCAATTACATAAAAAAATAATCAATTTATGTCATCTGATTAGTGATTACTTTGCCCTAATACTTTAAAAGTTCCTTAGCATAATATGATTTGCTAATTTTCTTTACGATTAAGAATAGAACATATTTATTCTGTAAGAACAAAATGTTACATAATGTTAAAACGAAGAAGTAAGAGCAACTTAACAACTTAATATGTCTTCTAGTTAAGAAATCTAAACTCATATTATATTGTACCTTATGCTTCGAATAGGTGTGCATGGTACAATATAAATTCCTCTCAAATTAGGCAGTGCTCTAGTGAAAGATTTAATCATAATTAACTGTAGAAGTGGGTTGACCTCGTTGTCGCAACTTGGTCTTGTTGTCAGGGGGACTATGTAGAACACATCTAGTCCGAAGTCGTCTGAGTTGTCATGATTCCCAGCATCTGACAGTGGACTTGATACATTATCAAACGTTTCGCCGGCATCGTAGTCGGCATCATCAGTGAGCCTTGCCATTCTCCGCACCAAGCTACGAACGCGTCAGTGACAAGTGAAGTCAATCCCTCGACAAGCGTTCTGCCGAAAACGGTAACACTATCACTCCTCTTTCTGTCATTGTCTATCTATCTACTTAAATTCGTATAAGAGTAGGGTTTCGAGACTACTAGTCCCAACAAAGAATATGATATGGCAAGATGTCTGGCCTTCTTTGAAATTCACTTATT